GAGAGAAATGGGTTGGTATAGAAATTGTAAATTTTTGTTAATTATTTGTTTTATAATAAAATTTCTTTTTTTTTTTAAATGCTCTTTTGTCTAACAACAGTTTTTAAAACTTCAAACAGATTAACAATTTTTTGCTGAAATAGTATAAAGAAAAAGACTAAAAACACATTTATAGTGTTTCCAGGAATTTTTAGAAGAAAAATTTTGCACAGAAATGAATTGAAAACAGAGAGGGAGGTTGTGAAAAGTGGTGGGAACTGGAAAAAAGGAGAAAGAAGAGATGAAAAGTGTGAGAAGTAAAAAAGTTAAAATTTGAGGGAATTATTAGGCACTAAATTTAAGCCTTAGAAACTCAGCAAGAGAAAAAAAGTGAATAATGGTTGGGTACATAATTATAAATTTCAATTCAATTAATTGAAATTGGAAAAATTTGCGGTTTTACCACTTAATAATTTCATAGATTAAAACGGTTGAAATTTCCAAATATTGCTTTTGTTCTTTTTCCTTTTTGTTTTTTTTTTCTGCTCCCTCTATTTTGTTTGAACGCCTTCCTTCAACAAAAAAAAAAAAAAGAAAAGAAAAGTTAGTAGTTTCCAACAGGAAAGTGCTGCTGATTACCGCTGTACTGCTTTCAGTTGATAGAGGTAATTTGAGAGCACAGGAGAGGTGGGGGCGAACTGCGAAGAACGGGCGGGGGATACGGAGGAAGAAAAGAGGTGAGTGACGGGTACTGGTATGGTGTTATACTATATATGGTTCTATACGTCTTCATTATGTCCAACGTAGTTATCCAACCCTGCTATTAGGGCTTCTGTAAACGGCAGTAGTTAACAGAGTGGCTCAACTACTTAACTCTAGCTCTTCTTTTTTTTCCTTTTGCAGTGTTCATCGTGTCACTGTCGTCTCAGTGAACTAGGCTCCAAATTGTATTACAAACACGAGATGATACTATGTAGCAGAGACTATCAACGACTATTTGGTGCTAACGGTGTTTGTGCAGCTTGCGGTAAAAGTATACCGCCATCAGCGTTTGTGATGAGAGCCAAATCCAAGGTCTACCATGTGCACTGCTTTGCATGCCAATTTTGCAGTGACAGGTATGCTAAAAAAAAAGTTAAAAATTTTCTTCCTCTTATAGTGTTTTATCAAATATCATCATTTTCAGTGAAGTTTTACAGGGGGAAAGTGGTTTGTTTTTTTTTAAACGTCTCTTACTAAAAAATATTCATATGCTCAAATGGAGTTAAGTGAACTTAAGACTAATAGACCAAAAGATGGGGGGCAAAAAGGGAAAAAAGCTGATAATGATAATGAAAAAAATTTGCAGAAACAAAAATCAAGATCTGCTCCAAAAAAGTTCAACCAAAACTTGTGGAGTTTTTTTGCTTTGTTTTTCACTGATATATCAAAGAAAATTTTTCCTACTTTTTTACATACTGATAGAAGATATGAACTTAGGTTTTGCGTAGGCGATAAATTCTATTTATGTGACGACAAAATTCTGTGCCAATACCATTATGAAGAACGAATGACTTTTCTGCAAGCTGCATATAACAATCATAGCTATACAGAGATCAGTCGAAACTTACAAAAACTTGATGATTTTGAACCGGTAATCCATTAATTTCACTATTTTACTTCTTCCTTCACTTTTCTGGTAAATTTTTGTAGTTTACCATTTTAACATTTTTCCAGACCAATATTTATATTCCTCCGTAATGAAAGCACTTTTTTCTGCCAGTATTTCTCAGCTGAATGCATTCAGGCGATCAAAAACTACGTGTAGTGAAAAAAGCATTCTTTTACTGATATTTGCGTTGACTTCATCGTTTTGAATTGTGTCCCTGGATTTTAAACAATTGGCCATTATCCGATTAATCAAATCAATTAACTGTAAATAACGTTACGTCTAAAGTTTGTTAAAATATCGAAGCAAATTCTCAACACCTGCGCAAATGAGAATAAGCGGATACTTTTAAAAGACAAATCACTTTATCGGTTTAGCGCCGTATCCTGCTTTTGCCCATTAATACTTTTATAACTTATTATACGCTATCTTCAGTAGTAATATACACTCGTGTATGAGTAAGCTGATGTTACATGAAGTCTGTAAACAAAAAATCAACTATAGAAGACTTAGATTTACAGTAGTGTATGAAAGACAAATTATTCAACAGCATATTTTCAAATGTCGGGAAAAACTTCAAACATGTGGTTCACTGTGAGCAAATATCAAGGTTGCTATTATTTCATTTTGGCGTTTCGTACAAAGTAACCCTCTCCTCGCCGTCACAAACTGTTAACTTCAGCGGAGGAATATATACCTCTGAATAATGCAAAAAACGCATGGAATTCTTTGACTATCGAAATATTGATGCGTCCCAAAGTTTTTAATCCTCAAGGTCACTGAAATACCATTGCTGCTTAACCAAAGCAAATTTGTCCTTCCTGTGCTCTGCAGACAGCAAGGAATTAAATGATGAACTGCTTCAGTAACTTATGCGAAACATATATGCATTGGAAATAAACGATCAACCGTATTAACCTTTTCCTCTCTCGAGGCAACAGCAACGATATCTTCGTTTACAATACTTGAGTTTCTCAGTGCCGGCAGCGCACTAACGGATTTATTAAAACTGATTTCCACTGTGCAATAATTGTCTGTCAAATTTTCAGAACATCAGTAATCTCACGTGACCAAAATGAGCTTAACTGCACCGTATCGGACTGCTAAAAGCCAGGATCTCAGTTGCTGAGGGAAGCACCACTAACCCAACCATTCCTACCAAATTCGATAGAGACGAACTCCAAAACAAAAAGTGCACTGTCGTATATGAGCATTAAATCTGTTGAACGTTCAAAGTCGATTTATTTTCCAAATAAATCTAATAATTCCGTTCCCAAATGATAAAGTGTTAATTTATAATTTGTCCAGCAAATGAAGTGTCCAGTTTACTGCTCGTCAGCTATACTAAAACCCGTCGAACAAAACTATAAATGATAAATTTTAATGAGCATCAACAACAACAAGAACAGAAACGAAATACAAATCCAGTAATTGAGTTTAGCAAACACGATAAGAATCAGAAGTTTAACCAGTCAGAAACAACAACAAACTAAAAAGCAGAAAGAAAAATGTATAAATTCTTGACCTCTCAATGTCTCATTCAAATAAATTACCAAATGGCAGTTTTGATGCCAGTGAACTCTCATCAACACCGTTTAACCACCCACCCAAACAAACAAAGAAATATCCAAACTAAAAACTACGACAATGATTTAATCTAACGTCAATTAGAGAGCTTACTGACCTGTTATAAAACAAAAAACAGCTTTCCCTACCTGAAGTCCAAACTGCAATAAATGACCAATTTAATTAACCATATCGACCGAAAAACTAAATGCCAAAAAGAACACTTAAAAAAGCAGAGGCATAGTAGTAGTAAGGTAACAATGTAATTTGAGTGCAGAAGCTACTCTGAAGCGTGCAAAATTCTGTAAGAAATTTGATTCGAGCTTCCAAATACTGTTTCGAAACATTCCGCCCGAATACAAAAGAAAATAAAGCTTTAAATAGCCAATTACCAGTTGCGACCCTTCCACTGAATGTTAACAAATTTACCAAGCGTACCTTAGAATAACGAATTTACGCATTAAAAAAAGAAATTCCGCAGAACAATCAAAATGATACTTAAGAGGCATTTTTTGAATATTTTAAAAAACTGCTTTGAAATTATAAGATAAAAAAGCCAGTAGCAACTACTAACAAAAGCCTGAAACTTCAAAACTGCCTCAAAATTGAAAGCACGTTGACGGATGGAAATGCTTAAATGCTAAGTACAGATAAATTAATTAAACAGTCAAAATCTGATAAATCCAAGAAAGAAACTGAAATGCTCAAAAATCAAAGGGTATGTTAATTAAGTCTACAGCAGTGACAACAGAAATTTACATTTAAATGACAACCATACTATTTACAACAATAACTGAAAACAGCGGAATTAAAATCATTCCCTGTATCAGATTTTGCGTCTGAAACGCCTTATATCTAACTACAACGAACTAAAATAGATCGGTATAAAAACAAGAGAAATAAAGAAGCTAGATTTATCTACTCCTAATCACGTAAAGCAGTGAGAATCTTTTCTAGCCAAACGTCAGCATCTGCTTTGGACTCCGCAAGTAACGAATAAACCCGCCTTGAAGTCCGAATCTGAAGTGAATAACTTCTAAGCAGCAAAGTAACACAAATTAAGAACACAAACAGTAACAAATCAAATAAATGTCGAATAAAATAAGTAGATATCATAAGAAAAACAACCGACTTCCAACAAAGGTTTTTTGAACGCGTGACTCGATGACAGCTCAACCCCTTTGACATCACTTAACTCAATAACTCCTCGACAGTTGACGTCGTTTTCACTTTCGTAGTATCGTAGCTAAAAAAACTCTTTGAATTTCAAACCAGCTGCATTGTCTTCCATGAAGATAATGTGAAAAAATACTAAGGGAATTTCGTTAAGAACGATTTGTACTAATATGCGGCTTTATAAAACTTACTTGGTGCCTACTGCAATCCAAGACAAACCACCGAGGTTTCCACAGTTTGAAAGTTGCTCCCCGTTTCATCAAAAAACCACAATGCGCCGCATTGGTAGACGGTCGGCTAGCACTCAAAGTCAAAGTCCTCGTGTTCGGAGCTAAAAAACTTGTGACAATGATCAACAAACTTTTCCTAAAACAAAAGATTTATAATAATCCTCCTCATCAATCAGAAAAAAACAGGTACTCTTTACCCTCATCAACAATAAAACTTGAGCGTTTCAATCAACAAGGTATAAAAAAACAATACAGAGTGCTCTCATGAGCTTCATTCATCCCATAGACATAATGTATATACAAAAAACAATTTGCCCCAATCAGAAATCAAATCTTAAAAAAGATCACGATGATAAAGAAATTAAAAAACTGAAATTTTCCAGCCAAAGAAGAAATCAGCCGTATAGACGCAGTACTTACTGCTCTGCCACATAGATTATTAAACCAACGCCACTTCCCATCTGATTCTCCTTCTGGTAACATTAACTAAAAATAACTTCGAAAAATTTGCTAACAAGGAGAAAGAACTGGTTTTGGTGCTATCGGTGGATGGTCCGGTCGAGTAACGACTGATCGTTTCTTTTCTTTTAGGTTATTTGAACACTGCGATGTGACCATAGGTGAGCACTTTTCATGACATATTATCCCGCAATTTGTACACATGCAAACTGGAAAAAAAAAGACCCTGTCAAAAAAAAAAAAAA